TGATGCATTCTTAATACTCATAAAAAATCCCAACTTCCTAACTTTAAAAACACCAAAGTTATGGCATTTCCAATCGTTCAGTTATATGGCAGCTATAAGATATAGTCGACCGATCCTTATGAAATTTGGTATGTCGGATTGATTGGCCAAAAATAAAACCCATAGAAAATCCCAACTTCTTAACTTTACAAACACCAAAGTTATGGCACTTCCGATCAATCAGTTATATGGCAGCTATAAGATATAGTCGGCCGATCCTTATGAAATTCGGTATGTCGGATTGATTGGCCAAAAATAAAACCCATAGAAAGTCCCAACTTCTTATCTTTAAAAACACCAAAGTTATGGCTTTTCCGATCGTTCAGTTATATGGCAGCTATATTATATAGTCGCCCGATCCGGCTCGTTCCGACTTATATACTACCTGCAATAGAAAGACAACTTTTGGGAAAGTTTCGAGCAGATAGCTTTAAAACTGAGGGACTAGTTTGCGTAGAAACGGACGGACGGACAGACGGACAGACGGACAGACGGACAGACGGACATGGCTATATCAACTCAGGAGGTGATCCTGATCAAGAATATATATACTTTATAGGGTCGGAAATGTCTCCTTCACTGCGTTGCAAACTTTTGACTGAAATTATAATACCCTCTGCAAGGGTATAAAAATTTTAGAAATTCGCCCTAAAACTTAATTTTTTCTAAATCCAAGAAAAGATTTCTATTTTCAAGGAATTTTTTTCTCAAAACAAGAAAACTTTTCTTAAATCAAGAAAGTGTTTCTCAAATGTAGAAATTGTCGCCATAAACTAAACTCACCCTAAATCCAAGAAAGAATTTCTATATTTTAGTAAAAATGGTACTTATTTTTATACATTTTTTTCTTGAAATTAGGAATTCTGCCCTAAAAAATTATTTACCCTAAAAAATAGAAAAATTTTCTCAAATTAACCTTAAAAATTCGATAACCCTAAAAAATAGAAACGCTTTCTTATATATAGAAATATTTTCTTAAATATAGAAATATTTTCTAAAAAATAGAAATTAGTCCCAAAATATAGAAATATTTTCTATAACATAGGAAACATTTTCTAAAATGACCATAAAATTGATCTAACCCTGTCTGAGTAGCCTAGGGGTTAGAACGTTTGACTAGAAATCTAAGCACCGGAAGTTCAATTTCAGCTGCCGACATCTTTCTTTTTTTTTTTTTTTTACTTGTGTTATAAACACAGATGAGAAGTAATGCTTAGAACGACTAAATTTTTACCCTTTATGGAAAAGTAATTAAAATATTTTTTGTCATATGAAATATCATCTTAGAAAATTTATTTTAAATATTTCGACTTTCACAGTTGCGACTTAACGAGTTCTAAAAACTTTTTTAAACTAATATTCTTCGCAAACGCCCCATCATATAGTCTTTGGTTGGCCATGCGCTCTTCGCGCGCGACCGTGGCTCCATTCAATGTCTTTGAACTCACGCGCGGGAGACCTGGGTTCGAATCCCACCGACGGACGAATAAAATTAAAAGTTTTTTCGGATAAGATACTTATCGGATTTTACTAGTAAGAACTGAAATAAATCATAATTGTACCAATTTCTCTCTCTCTCTCTCTTCCCCACAGAATTACAGTTGAAATCGATATTGGCAATTCATTAGTGCAATACTAATACAAACTTTGTGACTTTTCTGAATGAAAAGCGAAGTGCTTAAATCATATATGTACATATAATATACACATACATAAATATACATAAGTCCATAAATCCTGAATGAAAAATTACATCATTTTTTCTAATTTTTAGAAAAAATATTTACTTTTAAGAAATATTTTTCTATTTTTTAGAAAAGTTTTTCTTGTTTTTAGGGCTCTTTGCCTTAAATTTTAGAAAGGAACGCCCTTTATTTTAGAAAAAATTACCCTACAATTTATGGTGCGATGCCTTTGAAGTCAAAAATAAGGCGAATTTCTTGTTTTTAGGGTTAATTTTGGTATGAGTGTATGGGAGCAATATGATATAGACGTCCGATCGTCACGCGCTTTTACCCTGATGATGCATAAAAAAATAAGATTTGGAAAGATTCATGTCAATAGCTTTTACACTGCGCGAAATATCTTCCATTCTTGAAAGTTATATCCGATTGTTCCTATGGGAGCTATAGGATATAGACATCCGATCGGGCCGGTTTTCAAACTTGATCTGCGTACACACGTTTTAGGACGACTGTGAAAGTTTCAGATCGCTAGCTTTTAAACTGAGCTCGCAAACGGTATTGAAACAGACGGACAGACGGACGGACGGATAGACGGACAGACGGACATGGCTATATCGACTCCCCTATTGATCTTGACCAAGAATATATATACTTTATAGGGTCGGAAACGTCTCCTTCACTGCGTTACAAACTTCTGTCCAAAATTATAATACCCTCTGCAAGGGTATACAAATGATCATAATGACACCAGCAGGAAAGCGTTATACACGATTGTTCGAAATAAAAACAACAATAATAAAAACAATTCATTTAAAAATCGCGTAACTAAACAAAAGAAAACATTGAAGGGAAATTTTAAGAATAGGGTTAGATGTCACCACTCTGACAAAGGGGGACACATTAAATAGGATTGCTACCAATATAAAAAAATTCTAAATGAAAGAAAAAAAGATAATAAAAATTACGAAATTGCGATCATGGTAAAAGAAGTGCAAGAAAACCCCGCGATGAGTCGCTGTACATTGATTGTGTGTATCGCTGTGGCCAAGCAAGGCGAATATATTTACGAATCTAAGCGTGGCATTGTGCGTTTGCGCATTGACCACGAAATAACGCTGGAGGATGTGCTGTTTTCTGAGCAGGCTGCTGGAAACTTGATGTCTGTGAAGCGCCTACAAGAGGCGGGAATGTCGATCAAATTTGACAAAAATGGAGTAACCAGTATTAAAAAAGTATTAAAAGTTTTTTTTTTCATTTTCTTTTCTGAATGCCTTTATTTTAAGGCACTAATACAATTTTAGCTATAAAATTAATCTTTATACCATTAAGATTATAGAGGCAAATATGATCATTTTAAAAAAAGTGCCAAATTCGATAAAGTTTTAACCAAATAATAATTATATATTTTAATTAAACCCAAATGTGCCAAAAAATTTGGTTCAGGGAAATTTGGTCCATTCTTTGGTTTTGTATTTCTAATAAATTATTTTTAAAAGATAAATTAATGAAGTCACTTGTATTTAACAATAAATTAATGATTCTATCTAAAATTATTTGTTATATTATAATATCAGCATATTAGGAGAAGAAAAATAGCCTTATAGTTTAACATGCTTGCTGTGCCAATAATTAAGTTTGTCACTGTATATGTAAGAGTGATCTGATCGTTTTTCTGGGTTTTCCCCGTATCCTTGCAGCAAATGCTGGATCACATAACTATCCGAGAATGCACACCACCTACACTAAGTACATAACAATTAGAAATGAATATATAATGTTAAGTTCATAATTTCATAGATGTTATTTCTGAGGGGGCGTGTTGGAATACCCTTATTCCTATACAGAAATACCATTTAGTTCTTATCCATTTTAGGCATTAATGAAAGCCTAGCCTTTGGTCACACTGATAGTTGTTCTTCCCTTTTCTTGTGACATCTTCTTGAGCTAAGTTGTATTGCTGGTGTTGCGGTTTATTTAAATCATATATCATAAAACATAATTCCTTCTGTGTAATTATTGGGTATATAATCAACAAAAACCACATATATAACAAATTAATTGTATTTAAAAATAAAACAAATGTTTTATGAACAAATCAATGTAGTTATTAAACATAATGATAAGAATAAAATTTTGTTATCTCAAAGAATTTAGTAAAATTATTTTAGGAAAAGTATTAAAAGACGCCCTTCATAAATGCGGCTTTTTTGATGGTAAATTATGGCTCAGTTGGAGCACGATTTTCACATCTATCCAAAATCCCAAACGCTCCGCTGGTATTTGCTCTGTGATATGGCTAGAGAAAAAGTGGGAGAATAAAAACCAGATCATTCGAGAAGCGTGGCAAAAGTGGACAGAAACTAAATAATAATGCAAGGCCTCACTTGGTTTTTGTTCTTTTCGAATTTCCGATCGCTCAGTTATATGGCAGCTATAGGATATAGTCAGCCGATCCTTATGAAATTTGATAGGTCAGATTGATTGGCTAAAAACCCATAAACCCATAGAAAATCCCAGCTTCCTAACTTTACAAACACCAAAGTTATGGCATTTCCGATCAATCAGTTATATGGCAGCTATAGGATATAGTCGGCCGAAAATAAAAATTGAGCGAACACAGAACAACTGAGCAACTGAACAAGTGACCAACTTAACAGCTGAGAAGAAAAATTAAGAACAGCTGTGAACATGTTCACTCATTTTTTTGTTACTGACTCATGGGTAACCCCACTTCAATAGACGCGCACACACAACACTATACAATGATGTTATTATTATTATTATTTAATTAACATTAATTTATATCAAAACAAAACTATTTCTCTACTCAATCAAACGAATACATACCTTATTTGTGATCCGCATCGTGCTTTTGTGTTTCTCATTTGAGAGAATTTTTTAAAAGAAGAGGAAAATTCTGGTTTGTTATTAAAAATATTAAATTTTTTAAAAGTAAAAATTATGTGAACATTTATCTGCGAATATCAAATTAATCCTAAAATTTGTTGTTGTCGTTGTGTGCGTACATATCGAGTTATTCTGGCTTGTAGCTATAATTTATACGAGCCGGATTGGCCAGTACGCCCACTGTGCACTGAGCAGTGAGCAGTGAGCACTATGGATCACTTAAATCAACCGAGTCACTCCACTCGAGAGAGGCAGCTGATTAGCACTTGGCCGAGAGCGAGGTGCCGATGCCGGCACTCAAGACCCACTCTCCCTCCACACACACGGACCACAACTGAGTCGACGACGCCGTCGCCGCTGTTAGTTGAACTTCACGCGCCGCTGCGTACGCCAAGAAAAAATGAGAGCAGGTGCTCGCGATTGAAAATCGTAAATAAGCAAAGTGTGGCTGAAATCAGTGTAAATTCTTCAACAACAAACAAGAGAATGTGAAGTGATCGAATTGAAAACAAGATAAATTGCACCGCAGCGGAATATCGTAAACCATCAACTGTAAATATCGCAAGCCAGCATGAATGTTTACATAAGTAGTCAACAACAATCATTCGGTGGGAAGCAGAAAACGAACTTTGAGTAGAATAGAATAATAACACAGCCCGACAAAATATCACTTTTATTTGATGTAGGACTAAGTGAACATGATTATGAAAAAAAGTATTTTAACACATGATTGTGTTTGCTAAATTCTACCGTTTTGGTTAATTTTTATATACCGATTCTTAATTCCACTATAAATCTCGAAAAATGCAAATTTATTGAACTTTAGTTCGAAATATAAACTGTGTTATGCATTCTAAAATAGTATGGAAGTGTTGAGTAGTGGATAAATCTGCGGCTTACGATCGAAGTCCTCGGTTCAAACCCTAGACCCTTAAACAACTCCTTTTTTTAAGCTTACTCTTAAATATCTACCCACTTTAAGGCTTTACGACAATCCATCCCAGCCCTTGACCATCCAAACCAAAGACACTAAAATGCACAAAGCGTTAGCTTCATACAACTGGATGTCAAGAAAAATTTGTAGTGGGGATTTTTGATGCGGACCCATTATCTTATTGATGTGCATAGTCTCTTTTTGCTTTTATTGTGTTACACTTGCTTACAAAATTAAATCAACAATTTACTACTGAAACGAAACTTACTTTTTTTTGCAGTTGGAGTCCTTTTAAATTGTTTTTATGTTACCATTTTTTTTTTGGAAGTAGTTATGTTTTTCAATTGCAGGCAGTATCTACATATATATGCAAAAGCCACGACTTGCCAAATTGATTTTTTTATTGTTTCTTTAAATTTTGTATAATTTTTTTATTTTTAAATTTTGTATACAAAATTTAGAAAATATGAGAAAAAGTAGTTTTCGTAATTTTTAAACGACAATAACACTGGCTTACAAATTGAATTCGACAATTTACTCTGGAGATTAAATTTTAATTTTTTTATTTTGATCATTTAGTAGAGAGAATATTCTTCAAAATAAAAATTACCGTTTTAAACTGTAAAACTGTTAGCTCTTTTAAAGTTTCATCTTTAGTTTTTATACGTGTATTTTTTAAAGTTCCAATTTATGGGGACAGCTTGTGAATTTTACCAAGCACCTTAAAAGATGTGAACTTTTGGCATCTATAAAAACAAATCAATTTTTAAAGCATAAGATTATATTCGTGATAAAATTACCAATTAATGACCAAAATTGGTCTATCAAAACTCAAGATAAAAACCAAGATAAAACGCTATAGTCGAGAGCCCTGACTATTGGATACTCGTTGCTCAGGTAACAAAATAAACATGTCCTAAGAAAACAAACGGGTTTTAGATGGCGCTGGCGTGTCAACACCAAAAGCTAAGTGCGTGCAGCATCCCCGCCCCCACTAACAGATCTTTCGCATTTTTTTCTCTCTGAAATATAATAATAATTATATGATTATAATTTAATCTTTCCGAATAACTTCCAATTAATGGTTTGATTTAGAAAATTTTTAGTTTGTCGAGTAACTGGCCTCTGCAATTTATCAGAGTGATATGACAGTCTTACAGTTTCGGACGGACAGACGGACATTGGATGATCGACTGGGCTTTTTCTCCTAAACAAGAATATATACACTTTACACTGTCGAAAACGCTAGCTTCTACCACTAACCATACAACATGTTGTAGGGTTAGTGCTTCTACATACTTTTCAACGAATGCAATATACACTTTTACGCTATTCGATTAGGGTGAACCTTTAGCCAGTTGGTCAGTGTATTATGAGAGCGATCGTCTCCCTTACAAGTGGGCGCTCAGTTTCATTAGCAACAGAACGGAAACACGTGAGAGTCACAACTTTGATCATTAAGCGCTGGCATATTCAAACCTGTTGGGAGGTTCAATGGACGTTTTCGCCACCCTTTGTTTTATTTAGCTTTGCTTTTTGCTGAGTGATAAGTATATATACTCTAAGTTATTTTAATTCAAAATGCTCCCGCAACTCGAGTGAACTAAAATTAGCTGCAGAAGTACACTAAAAGAATGCGCTGTCGCAAGCCATAAATAAACTGAATCAAAGAAATAATCAAATGAAAACACCAAAAACCGACTCAATTTAAAAAGTCATGACAATAAATTTTCATCAAAACTTAATTCTCCAGCCGCAAGGTTGCACGTACTTTTTATCAGTTCCCGTTGGAAATTACACTCAATTATTCTCTGCGAGGACTGATATTCGTCATATCTGTTAGAAGTCACCATTTATTTGTTAAAGAACTTGAAATAATAAGCACGTCCAGCAAAGGGTGCGGAGACGGACAGACGGACATTCTTATATCAACTCAGGACGCGATCCTGATCAAGAATATATATACTTTATAGGGTCGGAGATGTCTCCTTCACTGCGATGCACACTTTTGACCAAAATTATAATACCAACAAAATTATTCCAATGTGGGATTCTATCTTGCGGTGCTCAGACTTCTGGCGAAGAGTTAACCACTCGGCCGATAACAAGCTGTGGTGATAACACCTATCAGGATTTACAGCGCCGGTTCGAATTTCAAAAATGGAAACAAATTCTATGTTTGTTACAGTGAACAATTTTAGTGAAAGTTTTAAACTTAAATCTATTTAATAAGTAATTATTCACATAAAATAAAACATAAACTTTTTTAACATTGCGTTCTTTTTGCTTAAATATGTTTTGGAAAAGGTAAAATCAACAATGTAAAGTTTCACATCACTTTACTTTACATTGCTGATTTTAAATTTTTGAAGTAAAGGTTATGTATTAATGTTCACAAAGAAAAACTCTAATAAATGTAGTTATAGGTTTGGTATTTGGCAAACAAAGAAATATATATTTTTGATAAAACCACTCAATCCAAAATAGTTTTCGGTATTAAAGGACTGTGAAGATATAAAAAATGTTGCTCTACTTTAACAGATTTTTAGAGACTTATTGCAACTTAATATATGTGTAAAATGTTTAACGTCTTAAATTTTTATAAATATAAGCGATTTGTTTTTCTGATTGCAATGCACTTGACGGTTAAAATATAACGTTAGTACAAAAAATATTTTTCGAAAATATATATAGTGCAGTTAAATACTTAACATGATTTATACAGATTACATTTGTTGATAAGATGGAAATGAATCTACCCGAATTTCAACCTAACTTTAAGGAGTTTCTATTAAAATTTGGTAAAAAAAAATTTCTGTAACATTTTTTTTCTATGTGCCAGTGTGATATGGATATAGGTCTCGACAAGTTAACCAAAGTTTGTTAGTCATTTTCTGGTGCTTTGACACCTCTAACGAGAAACGTGGAGCTTATCACAACTCAAGTGCCCCAAGGCAGCGAAACAATAAATGCGTGAGTCTAACATAAAACAAACCTAATGATAAGAAAGAAACAAAAAAAGCGTTAGTAACTCAATCACACTACACACATGTGAGGGAAATTATCGTTGTTTGGTGAACACATTATAGGGAATTGAGTCTGAGGTTTTTATCGAGGGTAGGGCTAAACCGAACGACTGTACAATTTTGGTTCCGTATATTCTGTTTTTATACCCTTGCAGAGGGTATTATAATTTTGGTCAGAAGTTTGTAACGCAGTGAAGGAGACGTTTCTGGCCCCATAAAGTATATATGTATATTCTTGATCAGAATCAATAGGGAGTCGATATAGCCATGTCCGTCTGTTTCAATACTGTTTGCGAGCTCAGTTTAAAAGCTAGCGATCTGAAACTTTCACAGTCGTCCTAAAACATGTGTACGCAGATCAAGTTTGAAAATCGATCGGACGTCTATATCCTATAGCTCCCATAGGAACAATAGGGTGAAATCGGTTCAAATTTTATGATTTTCAGAATATTTCGCGCAGTGTGTAAGCTATTGACATAAATTTTTCCAAGTCTTATTTATTTACGCATATCTTGATTAGGGTAAAAGCGCTTGCCGATCGGACGTCTATATTTTATAGCTTCCGTAGGACAAAATTGTTAAAGGCTGCGAAAATATCAATTTTTTCTATTTTTAAATGACATTTTTGCAGTATAAAAGCAATTGACAAAACTATGTAAATCTAGTTTATTTATGTAATCCTTATTCCTTTCACTACTTTTTCGTTTTTAGCAATTTCGGCAAAGTCTGCAAGGGTATTAAAACTTCGGCTTGCCGAAGTTAGTTTCCGTCCTCGTTTTAAAATAAAAAAAATTTTTTTTTTTTTTTTTTTATTTTTTTTTTTTTTTTTTTTTTTTTTTTTTTTTATTATTATTAATTTAATATATTATTAATAAAATAATTTTTTTTTTTTAATTTTTTTTTTTTTTTTTTTTTTTTTTTTTTTTTTTTTTTTTTTATTATAAAAAAAAAAAAATTAAATTTCATATTTTAATATTTTTTTTTTTTTTTTTTTTTTTTTTTTTTTTTTTTTTTAAAAAATTTTTTTATTAAATTTTTTTTTTTTTTTTTTTTTTTTTTTTTTTTTTTTTTTTTTTTTTTAAAAAATTTTTATAATTTATGTTTTTTTGGGAAAGGGGGGGGGGGGGAAAGGGGGAAAGGGGGGGGAGGGGTTTTTATTTTTTTATGGGGGGTTTTTTTTTTATATATATTTTTTTTGGTGGGTGGTCCCTCTTTTTGTTTTTTTTTTTTTTTTAAAATTTTCCCCTAAGGGAAAAATGAACAATAATAGCCTAAACTTGAAAATCGTTAAGAGCCACTTTAAAAACAATTTTAATGGTTTATTTTCTTTTAATTCAAAGAAATTTTGGTTAAATTAGGATTATTTCTGTTTTATACCAATACGTTACCATATGATACCATTTAAGTTACACATTCATAAGCGTTTAAATGTATTATGTATTAGTTTAAATTTTCAAAGGGATGCACGAGGAGGACTCGTCAGTAGACTGAGCCAGAAAGGGGCGATCACAATGCCTGTAACTGATTGACTTAATGTGACAGATGCCTGTGCACAAACGCATATTAATTATGATAAATGCGATGCCCACATTGCGTTAACTAAACAACAAAGATCCACGTCTACATAAGCAAACGCTGATACAGCCACACGCACAAAGGCCAGTTCAAATAATAATAACAAAGGATACCGCACCGCACCGCAAACCGAAGCCAAAGACGATGCCAAAATATCACAAGCTTGACAGCGCCCTGCCGCCCACCGCCTCCGAATACGAATTCGACTGCGAGGAGAGCTTCTCGCTATTCTCTGGAGATAATCAGCCGTATCCGGGCCTCCAGCAGGAACCAGCCAATCGAGCCGGTCGCCTGCCAAGCGGCCAGGGCAAGGACCTCAGCCTCAACAACAACGGCGTTGAGAGCTGCGTGGTGACGGCGAGGACGAAGAGCGGCCGGATTTCAGAGGAACAGACGTGGGAGGTGCCGCTGTTGTGCGACAGCGATGACAACGCCAGCAACCAGGTGAGGACGCCTTATTGCAGAGTACAAGTGCACCGCCATCCAACGGCCATCCAAATGCCACGGACCCACATATGCACACTTATATTTACAAGCAATTGCAGCACTCAGGGCACGGGCGAATTGAATTCGATGTGGAGCTAGAGTGTCGCAGCGGTCAGCCGGGATTCGGGGCCAATCTGAAGAGCAAATCCGCAGAGGAGGCCAAATTTAAAATTCTGCTCGCGGTTTCCCTGTGTTGCATATTTATGGTGAGAAGGCGCCCGCCACCCTCCATATGTGTGGGCACGCATTGCTTATTTAATTATGATACATTTCATGCTCTGCGACGCAACCACCGCACTTGACGGCAACCACAGATCATTGAATTCCTTGGCGGCTACGTGGCCGGAAGCCTGGCCATTATGACGGATGCAGCCCATTTGGCATCTGATTGCATTAGTTTCGTCATCGGTCTGGTTGCCATTTGGGTGGGCGGTCGGCCGCCGGATGAACGCATGTCCTTTGGCTACAAACGCTTCGGTAAGTAGCCAATTACGTTTGACACCATGCTAATGAGTGCACCGCACCCACACTCGGATTGCTCCGTGCCACCATGATGCATGTTAGTTCCCTTCTACCCTTCACCACAATAATGCATTTATGTCAGGCACTCCATCTGTCTGGCAACAGGCAACCCCCAATCCTTCACGTCACCCTCTTGGCCAGTTACTAACTCGATTTTCCCTGATTGTTTTGTCTTCTTTCTTGACTATGGTTGGCAGAGGTCATCGGCGCTTTGGCCTCTATACTGGGAATATGGCTCTTGACCACCTTGCTCGTGGTGGTGGCCATTCAAAGGATCTACTCTCAGGATTTTGAACTGGACGTCGATATAATGATGGTAATATCAGGCATTGGCATTGGCATAAACATTGTGTAAGTTAAAACTTTTTGTTACTAAGTATGTTCATGAGGACTCCCCTCAGTTGTCTTAATTTTAAGGCCATACGCTAATCTCTTTATTTATCGCATTTTTGTGCATTTGAGGCATCAAAGAAGGAACAAGTTAAACCAAAACAAGAAAAGAATTGCTTCCGGCGAGCAGAGGTTTATATACCCTTGCAGTTACTACAAATCGACTACATTTTGATTTCTATGCGTAGATTACTAAAAACAATGAAGCTTTGTCGATTTTGCGATGCATTTTGCCATTATTTCTATGGCAACTATATGATATTGTTGTCCGATTTTAATTTAATTCAATTTAATTCCATTATATTTAAATATTACCAAATCCCAAAGAACAACAAAAAAAATAAAAACAAAAAAGGAAAGCTAACTTCGGGCGGACCCGATAGAATATATATACTTTAGGGCGGAAACCTTGCTAGACATATTCTGTAAATAATATACCTTCTCCAAAATGATTCATATGATGCATTCATATGACCTTGCAGTTCTTAAAAATCCCATACATTCCTAACTTAATAAAAAACCAAGTTATGAGCATTTCCAATCGTTCAATTATATGGCAGCTATAGGATATAGTCGGCCGATTTTAATTTAATTAATTTAATATAATATTTAAATATTGCCAAAAATCCAAAGACCAACAAAACAACTTCTAACTTAACAACCATTCCAAATTATATTCTCCAAAATTATTCCGATCATGATCAGTTATTAATAGCTATAAAAAATAATCAGACTACACAAACCTTATGAAATTTGCGATAAGTCGGATTGATTGGCCAAATATAAAACCCATAGAAAATCCCAGCTTCCAGTTTCAATTCGATATCTTTAAAACTGAGAGACTAGTTTGCGTAGAAACAGACAGACAGACAGACGGACAGACGGACATGGCTATATCAACTCAGGAGGTGATCCTGATCAAGAATATATATACTTTATAGGGTCGGAGATGTCTCCTTCACTGCGTTGCACACTTTTGACCAAAATTATAATACTTTCTGCAAGGGTATACAAAAAGAAAAGAAGAAAACTTTGGCAAACCAAAGTTCATATGCCCTTCCAGCTGTTACAAAAATTAAATATTCTATATTTCGAAACTGGGATTTTCTATGGGTTTTATATTTGGCCAATCAAATCCGGAAAGAACCTACCGAAATATCATAAGGATACGGCCGACTATATCCTATAAAAGCATTGTTTTTTAACAGAATTAGTTCCTTGGTGATTTTTAATGAAGTCCAATTAAGAATGCATCATATGAAATAATTCTGTTGAAGAATATAATTTACAATTGACAGTATTCTAATATTAGCAAAAAAATAGCGCAAGGGTATATCAACTTCGGCTCCGCCCGAAGTTAGCTTTCCTTTCTTGTTTTTACATAAAAAACATTTGTCTGCATCTACTTATAATTGCCTTTACTATTTGTTAAATTCAACACACAATTTTGTGTGGAAATTTTAACTATAGAAATTGGTTTTACCAAATTACCATTCAAATATGTAATTTTCAACAGAATGATGTTCGTTTTGCACGGCTCCTGGTTCGTGGGCATCAGTGGGCACGGCCACAGTCACGGCCACAGTCACGGCCACAGTCACGGTCACGGCCACAGTCACGGTACACGGCCACCCAGTCACGACTCCTATTCACTTACTGACCCCAGCGGAGAGAGCTTTCTGATGACGACGCCTGCAGCAGAATCGGAGACGACTGATAAAGTTCCAAACGGTCATAATATTGTTATTACAAATTCGTCAATGGAGCAGCCAGGGTAGGTAGTTATAACACACAACCCAAAATATGAAACACAAGTATTGATTTAATTGCAATTTTATGGTATACGTTAGCTTTGGTTTGAAATCGCAAAAAACCATGGAATATCCAGATCATAAATATTTTGTCTTGCGACTGTCGAAAATGGCATGTTTTATGGGAAGTGATTCAAATTTAATTGGGTTTCTGCGACAGTTTCCCCAAACTAATATCGCATTAAGCTAATGTTTTGATATTCATCTGATTGATTTTAATCAATATTTGCTGCTAACTGCTCTTTCCTTCTCTCTCTGCAGGGCGACGAACTCGGAGCTCTCTCACGAGGAGAAAAATTTGAACCTGCGAGCAGCCATGATTCATGTGATTGGAGATCTGGTGCAGAGCATTGGCGTTTTTCTGGCTGCCGTCCTTATCAAATTTTGCGTGAGTTTTTTGTTTGGACATACGGGTAAACTTATTATTGTGTACGAAAGATCACGTAATGACGAAATGCACCGAGCGTGTGTGAAAGAAGACTATTTTGTAGACGCTTTAATTAAATAGTGTGATTTTAGAAAATCGCTTGGCTTTGGAGAAAGAGCAGCACAGGGGGAAAATGTCAAAAAATTCGCAAGGTTACCTTCTTTCTAATGTTTAATCTACCCAAAAAGAATTGTCATGGGATCAACCAACTTTTACAGTAAACTTACTTTAAAACTTAAAGGAAGAAACACTATAGTCAACTGCTTCGAGTATCATTAAATATACTGTGAAAGATCTCGTGGTTTTTATACCCTTACACAGGGTACTATAATTTTGGTGAGAAGTTTGTAACGCAGTGAAGGAGACGTTTCCGACCCTATAAAGTATATATATTCTTGATCAGGTTCAATAGGGGAGTCGATATAGCCATGTCCGTGTGTTTCAATACCGTTTGCGAGCTCAGTTTAAAGCTAGCGATCTGAAACTTTCACAGTCGTCCTAAAACATGTGTACGCAGATCAAGTTTGAAAATCGACCTTAAGTGATTTTTATATTTTGACTTTAAACAAAAATACATTTTTATATTTTTACTTAAAAAAAAAATTTTAAATTATATTTATTTTGAGACTTTTATAATACAAAACTTAAAAATTCGCTCAATCAAAAACAGTTCTCTTAGGTGATAAAAAATAATTTGATATTTTCGAGCATAACAAACTGTTATTCTCAAACATATCATTAGGACATTTTCTCGTATCAGGTTGGTACGACTTTTCCATATCAATCTGATACTATTTTGTCCTTACCAGTTTATATCTTTTTAAATGAGTGTATTTTGTTATAAGTGTATCTTGTTATTATGCTACATGACGTAGCCATGTTGAAAGGAGAATTGGTACTAGTTCTCAGTTGTGCGGACGGATATCCGGCAAGAGTGCTGACACTAGAGTACAGGGGAAACTTTGGTCCTCGTCCTCTCCACCGTTTTATATAGCACCCTCAACTTGGTCAGTGCAGCGCAGAAAATAAATTCAATCATTTTCTATATATCCGTAGATTGACGTGTCATTGGGCTTACGCCGAATGTAGTTCGCACCTGAAATAATTGAAACCTGCCATTAAAAATAGCAGGAATTATACTTTAACGCCCTCTTGAGCCAATTTAGTTGTTTAAGAACAAAAAATAAAAAAGCCAATTGAGAATACTCTGAATTATATTCCCAAAATTATTCCAATGATGCATACTTCGACAAGCAAAAAATCGACATCCTAACTTTAAAAACACCAATTGCATTTCCAATCGTCAGTATACACTATAGGATATAGCATCCTTAAGAAAGCAACCAAAATAAAACCCAACCCACTTAAACAAACACCAAAGTTAGGCATTTCAGCCCAATCATTCTATGGCGGCTATAGGATATGCAAATGGCGATTATAAATTTGTTAGGTCGGATTGATTACCAAATATAAAAATCCTAACTTTACAAAACCAAAGTTATGGATTTCCGATCAATCAGTTATAGCAGCTTTAGGATATAGTCCATCCTTAGGAAAATTAAAAAGCGGATTAATTGGCCAAACAATACAAGCCCATAGAAAATATTGAACTTGCTATCTTTTCAACAAGTTTTTCTATTTACGAACAATCAGTTATCCTTTGAGATATAGTAATTATCCCTTCGACTTATATACAGAATTACGCAATAGTTTTTAAACTGAGACTAGTTTGCGAAAATCAGACAAAGGAAAGACGGAAAGACGGACATGGCTATATCAACATCAGGTAGGTGCCATCAAGAAAATATAGGGTGTTTCGTGCACCTTTTGACCAAAATAAAACGTCTGGTAAAAAAAATGCAGCGCAAAATCGACATATGTAGCTTCATTGTTTTTAGTAATATAGACAAAGAAATCGAAATGAAGTTGTTTTGTAATAACAGCAAGGGTATATAAACTTCGGTTTACCTAAGTTTGCTTCCTTTCTTGTTTATTTATATTTTGTTCATTTGCAGCCAAGTGCTAAATATGCGGATCCCCTGTGCACGCTACTTTTCTCTATTATTGTAATCATGACGACGGTGCAGCTTTTTCGAGAGTCTTTGGCTATCCTCCTGAATGCAGTGCCGCTGAACTTCAACATGCGCAACCTGCATCACGAGTTGGCCAGCCTCGAGGGAGTCAGGTAAGGGGACCCACCGAACGCGCTTGTACAAACCGCACTTCAAAGACTTTTTTGTTGCAGATCTGTACACCACCTAAACGTGTGGCAGCAGACCAGCCAGCAAAGGGTAATGATGGCGCACCTCGTGATAGGTAAGTCTCTGGAATCTGCCGAACTTCTTCGCCACCTTCAAGTTATTTAATGCGTTGCAGACTCTCGATCTGACGGAAGTGCGGTACTGCAGGCGGCCACAAAGCTTATATCAGGATCGAGATACAACGTGAAACACTCTACCATTCAGATAGAACAAACCGCTGCGTAGCTCTTATAAAAAATAACTTACACCAAAAGTAATCTTAAGCCTCTAAGCTCTAACCTACCAAAGGCATCGAAGGCTTTTTGTGATTTTAGCCACTCATGTATTTATTACTTTATGTATGGCATCTTAATAGTTACTTTATAGCATCTTTTTTATAAGTATATTTTTGGAAATTATATTTATGACTTTCAGTCATCTTAGGCCAAAGAAAACGTAAAATAAGTTAGATAAATACCATCCAAAAATTTGTTATATACATAATACTTACGGAAATATATACATAAAAAGAAATCTCTTCCCACACTTTCCATAAAAATTTGGTTGAAAGAAATTTCTCTGTATGCATATTTTTCTGATTTATATGATTTTTTAAATATTAGATGACAATATCCTGTAGCTGACATGTGTCTGGTAGACTGTAACTGTAAATTTTGATTAGGTTGAAAAAGATTAAATTCGTCTTAATCTTTTTCAACCTAATCAAAATAAGCCCTTAATCGTTTTTCTGTAATAAAAAGCTTATACTGACTGCAA